TAGTTTCATGGAAGTCTTGGCTTTCTGCTTAATAAATAGCCTAAATGCATGCATAAAATCCATGCCTGTGTGTGTGTGTGCATAAATAAATAAATAAATAGTTAGTTACTTAGTATGTTTAATGGAAGTTTTTTTGCTTCATTTTGTGCATGCAAAATGTATTTAAATGCTTCTTTCTTTAGTTTGTTGGGGTGAAATATGCCCTGGACATGTTTTCATGAGATTCACTTTCAAACGTTATGGGCTTATGAAATCTTGTGGACATTCTGGTTATAAATTCCTCCCGGAGGTCTCAACCTGTCTGGGCAAAAGGCATCAGTACAGCTCATGGATGCACTTTTACATGAAAAAGTCTGACAACAAAGCCACAGAGGAAGCACAAATGGCAATAGGAAGGAAGCACGAGATTAATGCTTAATCCATTTTAAAGGAGACCACCTTTTCTTTGGCTGCTCTGCCTCAAAATGCCTGATATCGGTAAACTCCAAAAACAATCTGCTATTGTAGTTGAAGTCAAATATGTTGCCAAGCAATTGCAGAACACTGTCCAAATGATTAGGGTAAAAGCAGAAGACAGGATAATGCTCCACCTCTGACCCAGCTGAACCTCTGGATCCTGAATCTGGGCTCAAGTGCTGGACTAATCAACAGCCATAAGCTCTGATCCAATGCACAGGCCCGGCCAGCAGCGCTCTGCAGAACAGGCCAGCGTGGACTTATGGAAATAATGACACCACACTGAGCCCCGGGTGCCAGAATGAAAAATCTGGCCCACTCATTCTGTTTTTTTAACGATTTCTCGCTCTCTTTCTCGCCTTGTGCCATTACACAGAGCTGCAGCTGTGATGGTAACACCAGTCCTAAAAAAATACAAATATGAAAACAATGGGTTATGAATACATTTTTAATTAGTTTTATAAAAATTTTAAATTATAAAAAAGTTAAATTCTACCTAAAATATACAACTTTTAAAATATATAGCATATAAAATCTATATAAAATCTAAAATAGATAAAAACAATGACTTGGCCTTTCTAACATCATATTAAGGCATATTAAGTTCAATTCTATGACTTAGTCTTTCAAGCTTCATATTTAATGCCGTGTCATTATAAAAGAATATATAATATCTAAAGAATATAAAAAATCAAATATATAAAATCAATGACTTCGTCTTTCTAACATCACATTTAAGGCAGTGACATAATAAAATTGACCACATGGTTCAAACAGAAGTAAGTCTTTAACAGTAATTCATTGTTTATACTTGTATTTAAGCTCAAATCTGTTATGGGGGAAAAACCATAGTCATCCATTTTGTTTCAGAAAAACTTACTGTGACTGTGTTGAAGCAATGTAGCACTTTAGAGTTTAATGTAGTAACAATATCTAACTGTTTTATTTAAGAAATGGCATTTAAAAAACATAACTATTGTCCATTAAATGACAAAATGATAATAAATAAATTACGTCATGGTTTTCCCGGACATGTCCTGGCTGAGATTTCTAAATTGCCTAAAATGTCCTGTTCTTGGCTTGGTTTTCCTACTGACTTGCTCTTTACAGCCCTCATATACTTTTATGTGCAAATCTTTGCATTGCTTTGACCGTTTTCAGATCCCGCCTTCTCGCACACCACGATTGGTGGATTATGTATAATGCCTGCGCGCTATTGGTCAAACTACTTTTCAGTCTCTACCTTCAGCAAGTATGAAAACAATAGAAAAACAAAGCCAAAACCTGGACATTTTAGACAATTTAGACACGTCAGGGAAAAAAAAGACGTATGGTCACCCTGAAATAAATGCACATGCCACATCTCTAGGAAAACAAGGACGACCTAGAGAAAACACAGAGCGCGTGGCCTGATTTCATCAGTTTTTTTCAGCGTGACTCATTACTGATTTCTATTAGCGGTGATGATAACCAGTTTCACTGGACATGGTTTTTCACTCTATATGAGCGTAAGTCATGTAGCAGGTGGTTTTATTATCTGAACATGTGATTTCTCAGTCATCATCTTCAATTTCATCACATCATAAGTCTCTTCAAAAAATATATAAATAAATACAGGTAGGAAACTTGCGTCCTTCAATTAGAGAATATTTCTGGTGAAGGGAAATATGGCAAGCTGGTGAAAAAGTTGAGGAGCAAACAATAAATTTTCATGGAAATCTTTTTAATGCCAGAAAGCGAGAAGCAGCAAGAGAAATCATAAACTTTTTTTATTTGTACCTTTACTGAATTTCATATTTAAATTTTTATTGTGTCTGGCTCTTTAGAGAGTGTCTAATTTATTATCTGAAAAGTTCCCAGTGATATACTTCTAAATAAGCATCAAAGCAACTGCAGAGCTGAGATGATGCATATGTTTTTATAAATTTACGGCCTGCGCCACAGAATCTGGGCTGACGTGTTCAGATTGGCACACAACTTTCAGCCCATCGCCAGATGTAACAGGTGCATTTCATTTATCAACGTAACAATGGAGGAAAAATCACAGATTTCCACAAAAATACCAGACTAGCAGTTTTTCTGTCTGAGCGATTATCAATTTGTACTCAGCGGCAAAATGTCCAGAGAAATACATTTTGAGAAGCGATATATATGATATATAGACTACAGTTCAGATCCTCCATTATTTTCATAGATGGTTTGCTAAGCAAAAGTTTGCAAACAAGTCTTTATTTTCTGTAGATCCGGTTGGTTATTATTATTATTATTATTATTATTATTATTATTAATGCACTGGAAACTTTAAGTAAATTTGAATTCAACTGACCAAAGACTGTCAATTTCTAAATAATAACAAATATTAATTATTATTATTAATAATAATAATAATTATTATTATTATTATTAATAGTAGTAGTAGTAGTAATAGTAGTAAACTCCATTATCAATGAACAGAATGATGATTATTATTATTACTATTGATATTATTTATAACAATTAGTGTAGTAGTACTAAAAATAATGTCAATTTGGATCAATTGAAAATCAATTTGGAAATAATAATAACTTATAAGAATCATGATTATGATTATTATGACTAATTATGACATATTATAATACTTATGATCAATATTTACATTATCGATAATTTGTTTTTATTATTATTATTATTATTAATAATAATACTAATACTAATACTACTACTACTACTACTACTAATAATAATAATAATTATTATTATTATTATTGCACTGAAAATATTTAGTAAACTTGTCCCAAACTTGTAAATAACAATTAATAATTATAAAAATAATAATTGTATTACTCCTAAAATTATTATTGCTGCTACACTAATGATTATATTATATTATAATGATTATAAGTAATCATATTATCGATAATTAATATTATTATTAAAAATAATTATATACACTACATAAGCTGAAACTGTTCAGTAAATTTGGTGCAAACTGGCCAAATCTTTAGATTCAGTTCAGATCCATAACTAAAACTCTGAATAATAGTAATAGCGATGCTAGTTTACAACATGAATTTATTCATTATCTCTAATAGCGAATTTAGATAACACAAATGTAAGACTGAAGAGAGCAGTGCACACGTTCTCATGCAAACATACGGGAGCATCAGTAAACCTCCAGAGATGGCAAAGGAAGCAGAGTTTTATGGCGTTTGCACAGACAGCAGTGTCTGTGTGAGTAATATTTTTGGAGTCAGGTGTTGTGAGATGATTTGGCCGTGGATGGAGCTGTGAGAAGGAAAAATCTGCTCCGTTCATTCCTGGAATACCTACTGCGCTGCGCTCTCCTCTTCAAAACGCAGAGCCGAGGCCAAGGTCAGGAGAGGATCCAGGAGCCTGGAGAACGTCTCACAGCGAGCACATCTGCACAAGCACAGGGAAAATCACCATGAGATGTATGCATACATCACGTTTCATTTCATTCCAGAGGACTGCAAATGTTTTCAGTAGCAGCAAGTTTCCCTTTTTCAGTGAACAGCTAGTTTGCTGCCATTTTCCACAGGTTTTTATTGAAAGTCACTGAAGGATAGTACTTTACATTGTGGTTTACTGTAATACTAATCTCAAGGAATACATCTGTTGCAAATATAATCATAGTAAAATATATCAGAAATGTATGTCTTCATATTATTCATGTCATTTCAAACCCATATGATTTTATTTATGCTCGAGGCACAAATTAAGACATTGTCTAGAATTTTTTTATGCAGCTCTTTTCTATAGAAATGTTTCCTGTGCAGTGTTGTTGTATTATTATTTAGATACCATTAGAGTATGTATTGATATTTTGAATTCGTTTTTATTTTCACTTTTCATTTTAATGGTAGTTTACATTTTAGTAATTGTATTTTGTGCTTTTGTAATTTTATTTATATCTGTTTTTAAATACAGCATTTCTATTTAGCTTTAATTTATTTGTATTTCTATTTAAATTTCAGTTAGATGTGAAGGCAATATTTCTACTTTTTTATTTTTTAAATGTTAATTTTTATCAAATATTTTTTCATATTTAATTTAATTTTTATTTAATTTTATTTACTTCATTTCCCTTTATTTTATTTAATTTAGGGAATGTTTGTAATTTATTTTATTTGGTTTCATTTATTAAATTAAGATAAATATTGAATGCAATGCTTCTAATTTGTAAGGTTTTTTAAAATATTAATTTTCTTCTAATTTTATTTTATTTATTTTAATTTAATTTAACAAAAAACAAAATTTAAGTGTTGTAGTTAACAATAACAACACTGTTCCTGTGATTATAAACTAATGCTTAGACTTAGCTTTATTGTGTCTGAGTGGTGAAGCAGTGAAGGATCTTGCTAATGCTTTAGTCTTTCCTGTGAGCTGCACACTGTCTGGTTGAGCCTCGGGGCCGGTTCAAACCCTGACCTGCTAATCCGCAGTACTGTGACTCTCACATGATGCTGGAATGCCGTGCCGTGGCCCGCTCTCACTGTGATTCACTCCCTTCCCTTTGTCTTCTCTAGCCCTTCAGTCGACCAGCATCCCTCCCTGACAGTCTGGAGCACAGAGAGAGTCCACTCCCGGTATTTGGGAGGTATGGGGCGGTTTCCGTCTTTTGGGAGATTTCTCTTTTTCTGGGAGCGGAGGAATCACTTCCAGAATGGAGAGAACAAGCCTCTTATTCCAAAGGTAGTGTGGTTTCTTTCAGTTTAATTTATTTGAATTTCTACTGGCTAAAATTGTCAGTTGATTGGACTTTTTAAAGCACATTAATCTCATCAACAAACAACGTTTTTGACTATGGAAAATTAATTAACTGTGTCTGTTAATAGTGTTGTTCAGTGAAATATTCTTTCAGTTTATTTGAGCAATGTAACTTTTGGTTCAACCAATGATATGTTTAGGGCAGGATTACCTGAAACAAACTATTTAGCAACAAACTGACTAGTTTTTTTTTTTTTAGCAATATGGTTCAGAGAGTTGCAAGAGTGTTTGATTATTTAGAATGAATTAATAATAATAGCTTAAAATTATAAATAATAATAATAATAATAAATATAGAAATGTATTATTATTATTATTATTAGTAGTATTACTACATAAAATATTTAATACATTTGGCCCAAACTGTCTAAATGTATTCAACTGACCAAGAGTGCTTTATTAAATTATCTGGAAATAATTTATGATAATAATTAAAAATTATTATTATTGATAATAATAACAATCATCATCATCTTCATCGTCATTACTACTATTATTCTTATTAAATTTATTTTAATTTTATTATAATTTATTTATTGTAATCCATATTCAAGTATATTTATAATAATTAATATTATTTACTTTTGAATAATAATAATAATAATAATAATAGCAACAATAATACAATTTTGTTAAACAATGACAATAATAATAATAATAATAATAATAATAATAATGTTATTAAAACTTATTTTAATATTTTTTGTGCTTTTATTATTTTGTTGCATTTAAAAAACATTTTAAAATTTACATTTATCTCAATTTTAGTTTTAAATTTAAAAATCTAATTTTTTAATGTTTTTTAAATGTTAATTTTCATCTAATATTATATTAATAATTTTGTATTTTGTTATTATTATTATTATTATTATCATTATTATTATTATTATTATTATTATTATTGCACTGCAACTATTTAGTGAATCTGACCCAGACTGTCTTGGGGTAATCAACTGACCAAATTCATGAACTTTCTACTTCTTATTACCATCAAGGGAGATGTAAGAAACGCAGAAGGTGCCTCATCTGTCTCGTATCTGGGAACGCACGACAGTTCAGGAAGTCAGACGAGCTCGACTTTATCCAGCCATGAAGAGTCAACCAGAGCTTCATCAAGGAACGTCTTCACCTTACGAGCGCTCAGTCCGTCCAGCTGGAGCGACTACATCTTCAAGTATCTCCTGGTCACGAGCAACCTGCTCTTCTCTGTTCTTGGTCTGGTCACGCTGGTCGTGGGCCTCTGGGGCCTGATCAACAAAGAGTCCTTCGCTCAGGAGAAGATCAGCGGTATCGGGACGGACCCCATGCTGCTCTTCTGCTTCCTGGGTCTCGTTCTGGCCCTGCTGAGCCTGATGGGATGCGTGGGGGCGCTGCGGGAGAACATGTGTCTGCTTCAGACCTTCTCGGCCGCAGTCTTGCTCCTGGTGGCGGCGCAGGTTTTGGTGGCGATCGTGTTGTACAGCCTGCAGGGTCAGATCGCGGAGTACTTGCGCTTGGGCATGTTGGCCGCTATGGTGCGGTACCAGGACGACCTGGACCTGAGGTTCATCACTGATGAGATCCAGACGGGCCTGCAGTGCTGCGGGGCCGATACCTACAGAGACTGGGAAATCAATGTGTGAGTGGAAATCGAGAGAGGGGCTTGACATCATGATGAGTTTTCATGGTTTTCCAACACTGAAGTAGTCCAAAGTTAAATACAAGGATTATACAACCTAACTTGTAATGAAGAGCCTCTCCAGTATTTAATGCTTTCCAGTTAAATCTGGACTCATAGTTTGGCCTGCTTGTTGTTTTTGCTCCTATTCAGATTTTTCGTATAATTGTCCCTTTAGTGCTTTCCAATATATTTCATTTTATCACACAATCATCCTCATTTTGCAATCCCAGTTACGATTACCCATTATAGACAAATAATGGCTCTATTCGACTGAGTTTAAAGGTGAAGTGTGTCATTTTTCTATTTTAGTGTACTTATCTTAATCCAGGGTTTCCCAAACTGGAGGTTCCTGAAGGAACTGTGGGAGTTTGATGAAAATTAATCATGAATTGAATCATAACAATGTAAAATAATAATAAAAAATAATTATAATTGATTATTATATCAATAATTATAATGTTTTCTGCTGTGGTTATTATTATTATTATCATCATCAATAATAATAATAATAATGATAATGATAATAATAATAATAATAATAACAATTATTATTATTATTGTTATTGTTATTATTATTATATAAATAATGATAATATTTTCTGCAGTGGTTATTATTATTATTATTATTATATTAATAATTATAATATTTTCTGTAGTGGTTATTAGTATTATTATTATCATCATCGTGAATAATAATAAAAAATTTTTATTATATTACACTAATGATATATTTGACAAATTATGATAAATATTCATACTATTGATAACATATTTTATTAATGTTATAATTAATATTAATAATAATAATAATAATAATAGTTATTATTATTAATGAAATTATCAATAATATGAGTATTTATTATTATTATTATTATTATTATTATTATCATTATCATTATTTTACAATTATTATTATTTTATTAGCAGTAAGTACTATTTTCATTATTATTATCGAAACAAAAGGGTTCAGCTGACAAATACGTTTTGGAATCCCAGTCTTCATACACAGGCTTAGCAGTATTAACAGTATTAACACTTCACACTGGTTAGAGGACAAAAAAAAATTAACAACAACAACAAAAAAGGAAAATCCTATGGCCTTACATTAAAGGTAGGACGCTCTATCTAGAGACCAGAATGTCTGAGAGACTTGGGCCAGTAAACAACAGTGGCATGGAAATGCACTAAAAACACTCAGCACCTCTTAGCAAACACATGGCAACATCCTAGCATGACAGCAAGTTTTGCATGAATTCTTTTGGCTTCAGCTAGTAAACAAACATCTAGAAACCACACAACAACATGCTAAACACCAGTCAGAACACCTTAGCAACCAAGTAGCAATGTCTAAGCATGCACTCCAACACTATCAATTAATTATCACTCACAAATGTACTTATTTTTGCAATAATGTTTAAAGTTTTGCAATAATAAATCACACACTTCAGTTACCCTTAACTCAAAAAGCATCATGACATACTTATTTGAGTGAGTCTCACCGGTATCCGTTTCTCTGGCACAGGTATTTCAACTGTTCGGCTCCAGGGGTCCAGGCGTGCGGAGTGCCCCCCTCATGCTGTATAGACCCCCTAGAGAACGGGACGGTGTGGAACAGCCAGTGTGGAGTCGGTGCCCAACAGCTGGACGAGTTCTCGGCCCAAAGCGTGATCTTCCTGGGTGGCTGTCTGGGCAGCATCTCGCGCTGGATCGAGCAGCACAGCGGAGTGATTGTTACGGTAGTCATCATTCTGCTGGGGCTCCAGATCCTCACTCTGTTCATAACGGCCCATCTGCTGCAGAAGATACGGTGGAGCAGAGCTCAGCATGATGTGTACTTACAATCACTGCAGTGAATGGATTCAGATGTTTCCAATAACAGGATACTGTGCCATGTCAAGTTTACAGACTGCATAATGTTTCAGTTTGTATTTGACCAGAGGTTGAGAAACCACTCAGATAGCCTGAAAGTATGAAAATAATCAGACTTTATTTTATGTCCAAACCTTTTCTGGGCTGCCGGGAATGAGCCGGACTCATTCTTGTATGGCTCTCCAGCATCATAAGGCCAATAAACTGGGCCGAGCTTTCACAGAGAGCTGCTCCCAGTACTCGCGCTATGGGCAGACACTGAGACCCCACAGAATCCAAACTCATTTTGAACATTTGCAACTTGACATAACGAAAACACAAACATCAACAAAAAAAAATTCCACAACTTGTGGTACCTTACACTGATGTTTGCAGGGTTATACTGAAGTAAAAACTGACACCTAAAATGCCCATTGCATGTCAATATGACAATACTATAACACATACAATAATAAAGTAAAAACAGAGTAAGAAATGGTTATCTGAAATTAGCATTGGCGACAGAGTGAAATCAATCCAAAATAAATGCCATTCAATGACATTCAGAGTTTTAAGGGACAAATACTTTTTGTGGTCACCATATATTAATATAAGCAAACATATATAATTCATATTAAATCAGTATAACCTTTAGGCATAACTGGAACTTGAAGCCTAACAAAAACATCACAAATCATTTCCATTCAAGATGTTCTGTTCTTTCTAACCAGATGTACTCACCTGCTGGTCTTCTGTTTCTGTCTCTAGTGTGTCGAGGTTCTCAGGATGTGGCCCTCTGTCAACACTCTCCCATCAGCTCTTATATAGTTCTGAGCATCATAAGATGATTAAAACTGCACACGATGGTCCTTCCTCTTTCCAAAACAATCTAGCTGTCATCAGCCCCCTAAAAGGTAACAGGATGCAACATTCACATGTACATGTATGAGATTAATCCTGTTTGTTTTCCATAGTTCATGCAATATTAGATTAGACACATAGTGTTTGGTTCATTTAGATTAGGAATTTGTGTTTTTGATTGTCCCCAAGTGAAAGTATCACAACTGAGAAAAAAAATTATATATATATATATATATATATATATGATTTATTTTAAATATTTGTATTTTTCATTATTTTATAGGCTATTTCTTATTACTTTAAATGGCAATTAAAACTATATTTGATAACACTGACTTATGAATTGCAATACTGATAAATGTTGCACAAATTACCTTTCAAGCTATGGCATGACTTTAAAAATGCCAGAGTTTAACTAAAACATGGATAAAGCAAAAGGCCTAGTTAGTCATAACAATGATTTCATTCATGCACATATAATCTTCAGCAGATCACGTATTCACACACACGACATGTCCAGTGTGATGTTCTACTTATGCAACAGTTTTTCTGAATCGCCCGTCCAGACGTCCCGTGTGTGCTGCGAGTCCTCGGTTCAGTGTGATCAGCAGTCTGTCAGATAATCTCTGCATCTCTATTCATTCAGAGAATAGATTAGCATGCCCCTTCAACCAGACAGACACACAGCCACTAACTCAACTGCAGTATCAGGTAACTCACACAGCTAAAGATGGACAACTAAAACAGGAAACACATTTTTAAAGCATATTTCTACAGTGTATCTCATAGAGACAGGTGCTAGTTTAAATAAAAGTCTGTAAAAGTCTGTTTAAAGGGGTCATATGATGAAATTTCAATTTTTCCTTTCTCTTTGAAGTGTTACAAGCTCTTGGTGCATAAAGAAGATCCGTACAGTTGCAAAGACTATAGTCTCAAA